ACAGTGACACACTATAGTGCCAAGGTTCATGTCATGAGGTGGGCGGTGGGGTAGCCTAGTGGTTAAAGCGTTCGCTCGTCACGCTGAAGACCCGGGTTCGATTCTCCACATGGGTACAATGTGTGAGGCCCATTCCTATGTCACCCGCCGTGATATTGCTGAAATATTGCTGAAAGCGGCATAAAACTAAACTCACTCATGTCTTGAGAAATCATATAATCCTACCAGAGAATTCGCGTGTGACAGGGCTGCAGTGAAAAGTCTGACTGACATCCTTTATACATTCAACAGACACGCCATGATGTGACTGGAACATTGTAAAATCAGCGTTAAACCAACCTCAGTCACACCCTCACTGATTGTGACTAAACCAAGTCATCCGCTCACCCATCACCTGTACTCGTGCCAGGATCCGCTGCTCGCTGGATCGAATCCCGATCCTTGGGCTATCAGCACCATTCCCCACGGAAACCTGTCGGCCTGATGATGCCCATCCCAATGCTTTACTCGCCTGTTTTGAACTTGAAAATACATCATTGGCTAATACTGGTCCAGGAGTTTATTTCTTTGAGGTAAGAGTGCGGCGTAAAACTAAACTCACTCACTCTTTGACGTAAAGTCTTTTTCGCCTGCCTCTTACACGTAACCGTATGCACCCATATGGATAACAAGATGGTATGAATAACAACTCGTAGTATATTAAATTAGTTATCCACTGTCAGTTAGAGTTTTGTGGTAACCATGGCAACTGCAACACGCAACAAATAAAAGGCTTGTGGGTAGTTAGTTGCAAGTCAGTGAATTTCAAAGCCAGAAAACTGTTTATTCTCTCTACACCAAAACATCAGTAGCTTGTTTGATGTCTTGGTTGTGTGACAGACTGAAACACGGCAAAATCTGCCTGATTCTTCCCACAGTAGAATATTTCAGCGTCACGCCGCCAGACCTTTTGACTTCACCACGACAAACCGTTATGGCTTAACCGTTAGCTTAGTGAAGAAGAACTAGTAAATCCTGAATTATGTACAACTTTGTAACGTGGTAGACCTTTGATGCTGCTGTGTACAAAAACAGAACAAACGGTTTAGTATAAAAGAACACGTTGTACTGGATGTCCTGGCATTTTGTTGTTGAGGACAAGAGTCTGTTACGTCATGACTGAATCTTGTTTGCTTTTGTTCCAGTATGCAAGTCCTCAACTTACTTGTGTAATATGGTTGTATATGCAAAATCATGTCTCATTTAGAGTGAGCAAGTGCGTTTAGTTTTACGCCACTTTTAGTAATATTCCAGCAATATCACGGCGGGGGACACAAGAAGTGGGCTTCACACATTGTACCCATGTAGGGAACAGAAACCGGGTCCTCGGCGTGACGAGCGAACGTTTTAACCTCTTGGGTATTCCATCGCACTTCTCATTTAAAATTTCAAGTTTGTCGTATAACTGGAATATTGTTGAGTGCGGCGTTAAACAACAAACAAAAAAGTCGTTTCATAGTCACAAGAAAATTGGCTCTGCAGGGTTACTTCACTTCGCCGTGCAAAGATCCGATGTGCACAGTCTGCGCCACATTAAGCTAACATTAATCTCTATTCTGCCTGAAACTATTTATGACGTCCCTGTCCGGAATACCGCACACGTAGTCAGCAGTATTCCATGTGCATTGGGGCCCCCTGTTACTGAGGCCGTTACCGACGTCGAGCCACAACAACACTTCATAAACCAGATGACCCTTGTAAAACACGATCTTAGTCATTTAGGTCAACCTGTGTAATTGAAAACTCATGTACAAGGAAACGCAAAGCAGTCGTGGAGCTGAAGTTATCATAAGTTCCATACTCTAACATAGATTTACGACTGAACAACGATTGATGGAATTGGAAGTGGACCCTGACCACGCGCTGCTACTAGTGGTCCACCTGTTGTCGACTCACACCACCACCAATACCTGGAGCATTACGTCTTTGTAGTACGTTAACGCATGCTATGTATTTACCTACACAAGTACAGCACAAATACCTACACACATACTGCTCAAATACCGTGAGGGTTTAAGTCTTTACAGTATGTTAACGTATGCTCTATATGTGTATCTACATAAATACCGTGAGGGTTTAAGTCTTTACAGTACGGTAACGTATGCTCTATATGTGTATCTACACAAATACCGTGAGGGTTTAAGTCTTTACAGTACAGTAACGTATGCTCTTTATGAGTATCTACACAAATACCGTGAGGGTTTAAGTCTTTACAGTACGTTAACGTATGCTCTATATGTGTATGTGCACAAATACCGTGAGGGTTTAAGTCTCTACAGTACGGTAACGTATGCTCTATATGTATCTACACAAATACCGTAAGGGTTTAAGTCTTTACAGTACGGTGACGTATGCTCTATATGTATATCTACACAAATACCGAGAGGTTTTACGTCTTTACAGTACGGTAACGTATGCTTTATATGTGTATCTAAACAAATACCGAGAGGTTTTACGTCTTTACAGTACGGTGACGTATGCTCCATATATGTGTAGCTACAAAAATACCGCGATGGTTTTACGTCTTTACAAGGCGGTAACGTTTGCTCTATGTGTGTATCTACACAAATACCGCGAGGTTTTACGTCTTTACAGTACGGTAACGTATGCTCTATGTGTGTATCTACACAAATACCGTGAGGTTTTACGTCTCTACAGTACGGTAACGTATGCTCTGTGTGTATCTACACAAATACCGTGAGGTTTTACGTCTTTACAGTACGGTAACGTATGCTCTATATGTGTAGCTACAAAAATACCGCGAGGGTTTAAGTCTTTACAAGGCGGGAACGTATGCTCTATATGTGTATCTACACAAATACCGCGAGGCTTTACGTCTTTACAGTACGGAGACGTATGCTCTATATGTATCTTCCCAAATACCGCGAGGTTTTACGTCTTTACAGGACGGTAACGTATGCTCTATATGTATCTACACAAGTACCGCGAGGCTTTACGTCTTTACAGTACGGTGACGTATGCTGTATATGTAGCTACACAAGTACCGCGAGGCTTTACGTCTTTACAGTACGGTGACGTATGTTCTATATGTGTATCTACACAAATACCGTGAGGCTTTACGTCTTTACATTGCGGTGACGTATGTTCTATATGTGTATCTACACAAATACCGCGAGGTTTTACGTCTTTACAGTACGGTAACGTATGCTCTATATGTGTATCTACACAAATACCGCGAGGTTTTACGTCTTTACAGTACGGTAACGTATGCTCTATATGTGTATCTACACAAATACCGTGAGGTTTTACGTCTTTACAGGACGGTAACGTATGCTCTATATGTATTTACACAAATACCGCGAGGCTTTACGTCTTTACAGTACGGTAACGTATGCTCTATATATGTAGCTACACAAATACCGTGAGGCTTTACGTCTTTACAGTACGGTAACGTATGCTCTATATGTGTATCTACACAAATACCGCGAGGTTTTACGTCTTTACAGTACGGTAACGTATGCTCTTTATGTGTAGCTACATAAGTACCGCGAGGTTTTACGTCTTTACAGTACGGTAACGTATGCTCTTTATGTGTAGCTACATAAGTACCGCGAGGTTTTACGTCTTTACAGTACGGTAACGTATGCTCTATATGGGTATCTACATAAACACCGCGAGGTTTTACGTCTTTACAGTACGGTAACGTATGCTCTATATATGTATTTACACAAATACCGCGAGGGTTTAAGTCTTTACAGTACGGTAACGTATGCTCTATATGTGTAGCTACACAAATACCGCGAGGTTTTACGTCTTTACAGTACGGTAACGTATGCTCTATATGTGTATCTACACAAATACCGTGAGGTTTTGCGTCTTTACAGTACGGTAACGTATGCTCTATATGTTTATCTAAACAAATACCGTAAGGGTTTACGTCTTTACAGTACGGTAACGTATGCTCTATATGTGTATGTTCACAAATACCGTGAGGTTTTACGTCTTTACAGTACGGTAACGTATGCTCTATATGTGTATCTACACAAATACCGTGAGGTTTTACGTCTTTACAGTACAGTAACGTATGCTCTATATGTGTATCTACACAAATACCGTGAGGTTTAACGTCTTTACAGTACGGTAACGTATGCTCTATGTGTATCTACACAAATACCGTGAGGTTTTACGTCTTTACAGCACATTTACGTATGCCATATATGTACCACCACAAACAACGTGAAGCTTTACATACTTATAGTACGTTTATGTAGACCGGGTTTGTTGGTTTGTTTGTTTGTTTGTTTGTTGTTTATCGCCGCACTCAGAAATATTATGCATACCGAAATAATTTGAAAAGAAATACTCATTTACTAAACTAAACACCATTTCCACATTTTGGTTTAGCCTTAGTGCAATAATGGTTTCCTTCTTTCTAAGATCTTTCATTTCATACCTTAACAAAACATTCAAACTAGTCTAAGTAATTGTTCTTTTTCACGTTAAATAATGGATATGCTTTCTTCAGACTGTTTCATCTCAGGTGGACTTTCATAAGCTATGAAGCATAGTATCTGCAGACATATTGCTCTGTCAAAAGACGTAAAAGACATTCGTAATTTATTCAACAAACGACTCCTTTATCATCGCAGTCGGAGATCGTATTTTAGAGAAGTCAACAGTGAGGCTTCTTTAAGTTTGTGCGAAAGAAATGCCCATTGATCCAGTAGATTACTTGGCTGGTTTTTAACCTGGAACAAGTCCCCTCAAAGTGAGAGAAGGAATATTATCTAACGCCGCAGTCGTTTGATGGAACTAACGTGTGATGAGAAGATGCCATCAATATTTATTTGTTGTTTGCCAAACGTCGGGTTTCATCGGTCCCCTGACATACAACTTGTGGTGCGCATCATCTATCAAAGAAATGGCATGTTACAACCACATATATCAATAAATTGAACTTCAGTTTTCATTACTAGACGTTTTCTGTACTTTTAGGACTTTCTTAGCATATACTCTAGTCAGTCCTGCAGTGACTTCAGTCGTAAAGGAGGGTAAGTTCCTCACGCCCCACAATAACTGGCTATCAACTGGAACAGATATCTAGGTAAGACTGTCGTTTTCAAAGTGATGAATATACAATCCTATTGCTTCATTGGTCGTGATAAAACTGGATTTTAGAAGTCCCCAGGATGAAAATACTGTCTAAACTTGTTTGGCTAAAAAATACAACGCTTAACTTTCCAGGGTGGCGAGAATGTTGGCTCTTCTCTGTACGGCGGCAGTCATCACGAGCGCCATCGCCAACCCTCCAAGTATAATAGCATGCATCTACATGTACTACTATGCAACTACAGTTACTGTTGCATCTTCTTTTTCTGCTACTCGTGAAGATCCGGGTTAGAATATTGATCTTCAGCAGCCCATGCTTGTCGTAAGAGGCGACTAACGGGATCGGGTGGTCAGGCTCGCTGGCTTGGTTGACACATGTCATCGGTTTCCCATTGCGTAGATCGATGCTCATGCTGTTGATCACTGGATTGTCTGGTCCAGACTCGATTATTTACAGACCGCCGCCATATAGCTGGAATATTGCTGAGTGCGGCGTAAAACTAAACTCACTCACTTTTCTGCTGTTGCCACTAGCACTAGCACTAGCACTACCACTACCACTACCGTTACTACTCGTGAAGATCCGGGTTAGGATTTATCTTCAGTAACCCATGCTTGACGCAAGAGGTGACAAACGGGATCGGGTGTTCACGCTCGCTGACTTGGATGACAATGTGGTCGTTTACGAATTGCGTAGATCGATGTTCATGCTGTTGATCACTGGATTGTCTGTTCCAGACTCGATTATTTACAGACAGCCGCCCAAAAGCTGGAATATTGCTGATTGCGGCGTAAAACTAAACTGACTGACTGACTCACTACTACCACTACTACGACTGCTGCAGCTACTGCTACTAATTGTACTACCGCTACCACTACTACGAGTGCTGCTACTGCTGCTACTACTTCTACTACTACCACCACCACCACCATCACCACCACCATCACTACTACTACTACTACTACTACTACTACTACTGCCACTACTACTTCTACCATGGCCGAAAAATTGTAGATGTGACGTAAAATGTTAACTCACTCACTCACTACTTCTACCACCTCCACCACCACCACCACCACTACTACTACTACTACTACTCCTCCTCCTCCTACTACTACTACTACTACTACCACCACTATCACTACTACTGCCAACACTAATACTACTACTTCCGCTACCACTACCACTATTACGACTGCTGCTGCTACTACTACCACCACCACTAGTGCTGCTGCTTTTACTACTACTAAAACCATACTCACTCAGTCTACTACTACTACTACTACTAACACTACTACTAACACTACTACTACTACTACTACTACTACTACTACTACCTACTACTACTACTACTACTACTACTACTACTACTACTACTACTACTACTACTACTGACCGCCTCCGTGGTGTAGTGGTTAGAGCGTCCGCCAGGAGAGCGGAAGGTCGCGGGTTCGATCCCCGACCTCGTCATACCAAAAGACGTTAAAATATGGTACTTGTTGGTCCCTGCCTGGCGCTCGGCATTAATGGGTACAACAAGGACTGGTCGGCTCGGAGTAAGTATAATGTGTCTGAGTGGGGTATTCATGCTTCACTGCGGCATGGTATCTCAGTGAACTAGCACTATAAAACCAGCTTCAGTCTGGGCTAGTACAAGCAGCCGCACATTCACATACACACGCATGCACGTCGTCATATGAGCGAAATATTCTCAAGCACGACGTTAAACCCAATTTCACCTCACTCCTCCTACTACTACTACTACTACTACTACCATTACTACCACTAGTACTACTATGTTTTAAGATATCTTCGATGTTGTAGTTTGCATGTCCATGTTATGATGCGTTATGATGTCTTATGGTGTATAGGGTTTTTGTTTGTGAATACTTATAATGATGTGCTTGACCTTGATTTGTATTCTCTGGGTAACCCTATAAGTTTTTGGCTTGTCCAAGGATACATCCTTATCGTGTATTATGTTTAAACACAATGTTTAAAGGTTGATGTAAGGATACATTTCTTTGTCTGAAGTTGAATGGTAATTTTGCATGTCCGTGTTATGATATATTATTATGTTTTATGGTGCATACGTCTTTTTTACCTAAATACTTTCTTGTTACTCTGCACAGTTGCAACACCCAAGTCGCTCCGGCCCAACCCTCCTCCTACAACTACAACTACAACTACTATTACTACTCTGGCTGCTACTACTACCACTGCTGCTGCTGCTACTACTACTACTACAACTCTGGCTGCTGCTGCAACTACTACCACTGCTGCTGCTGCTGCTGCTGCTACTACTACTACACTGGCTGCTGCTGCTGCTGCTGCTACTTCTACTACCTGCTGCTGCTACCACTGCTGCTGCTGCTACTACTGCTGCTGCTACTGCTACTACTACCACCACCGCCACTACTGCTGCTGCTTGCTACTACTACCACCACCGCTGCTGCTACCACAACCACTACCACTGCTGCTGCTGCTGCTGCTGCTACTACTACTACCACCACCACTGCTGCTACCACAACCACTACCACGGCTGCTGCTGGTACTGATACTAATCGTACTACCACTACCACGAATGGTGCTGCCGCTCCTATTAATTCTACTAACACCACTACGACTGCTTCTGCTGCTTCTACTACTACCAATACTACTACTCGTATGTTATAGGATGTCTTCCATGTTTTATTTTGCATCCCGATAATCTCCAGGGTAATCGTTCCGATAAATCTCCATTAGTACCCTGGATGTATCTTCGCCCGATAATTGTATTACCTCCCTTTGCTGTGGCTGTTTATCCAATCAAGTGTCTACGCTGGGAAGTTAAGCGTACCAATCAGAAGGCTTCTATCATAACTCACTTTCTAGCCGATTAAACTTGGCAACACAACTGTTGCAGAGTTACCTAGAAAGAGTTAGGAGGAGTTCTTCCATATATGTTTGGAAGGTTTCAGACCTGCTATTTTGTCTGTATGATTTTCCCCTTAATATGAGTCGCACAGCGAGCAAACATTCGAGGCAGCGGCCGCCATCTTCCTTGACAATGACAAGCTCGGTTGTAACGGCTTATCTGATTGGCTACTGTGAGAAGGCAGAGCCAGCTAAAGGAGGTAATACAATTATCGGGCCAAGCCGTAGATGCATCCAGGATCCACGTGGAGATTTATCGGAACGTATACCCTGTAGACATCGATGATGGTCCATGCTATGATGCGTTATCTATGTTTTATGGTGTATAGGGTTTTTGTTTGTGAATATTTATAATGATGTGTTTGACCTTCATGTGTATTCTCTATGTACCCTGTAAGTTGTTGCCTTTATGTTGCTTGTATATGTCCAAGGATACATCTTTATGGTATATGTTTAAACGCAATGTTTAGAGGTTGTTGTAAGGATGCATTTCTTTGTCTTAAGTTGAATGGTAATTTTGTTTTCTTTTAGTTCAAGGTTGCTTGTTTATGTTTAGGGTTCGGTTACAGGCTGCGTGCCTATGTTTTAGGATGTGTTTCAACGTATATGTGTAAATCGTTTTATGTTTTAGGATGAATTTTATACTGCCAATACTAGTATACGTATATTTAAGGAAGAGTTTCCATGTTTTATGGGGTAGCTTTATGTCTTTGGATAATTTTGCATGTTTCTTTTTACTTTTATATGTAAGGATGCGTGTATTGTTTTATAATAATTTTATGAATCGTTTTTAGGTTTTAGTTTAGTTTTAGGATGTCTATTTATGTTTTAGGTATTAGGTTTTAGGTTATGTTTTAGGATAAATGTTTTTTGTGTGTTCTTCAGTTTTAAATGTTTGTTTGCGTGTTTGTTTTAAAAGATGTGTATTCGTTTTAGGTAGTGTGTTTATATGTAGGTTGCATGCTTACGTTTCAGGATACGTTTTGGTGTAAGATGTGTTTTTTACCGTGCATGTTTATGTTTAGTTTTTATGCCTGGACTGTGTGATGACTTCTATGTATGATAAAGTTTATACATATGTTATAGGTTGCGTGGACAATGACGATAGATGCCCCGAGTTTGCCGCTTCTGGATACTGTTGGGCGGCGAACATGAAGGGGTACCTTTCACTGTGCCCCCTCTCCTGCAATGTTTCGGCGCTGTGTCACCGTGAGTCGATCGAGAGAGAGAGAGAGAGAGAGAGAGAGAGAGAGAGAGAGAGAGAGAGAGAGAGAGAGAGGAGAGAGAGAGAGAGAGAGAGAGAGAGAGAGAGAGAGAGAGAGAGAGAGAGAGAGAGAGAGAGAGAGAGAGAGAGAGAGAGAGAGTAGAGAGGTAGAGGTAGAGAGAGGTAGAGAGAGGTAGTGAGGTTAAGATATTTATTTTCAGCGTCCCTTGGCGACACCGACATTCTCTGCAGACTCCACCGACTTCATAACAAATGCGACGAGGTGAAAGAAAACTGCTCTTACACATGTGGCGAGGAACTTGGCAGTGAGTTTAAACCAGCTATAAATACATATTACCGTAAACAATCTACAAATGTTTAGACTGACTCCCTTGTTAAGTTGAATCACAGTATAGAGACTGATCCAAAGTGAAAACAGTGATACCAGATGAAGGTAAACTGCAGTTTGGAATGTTGAATTGAGTTCAGGTTCAGTGTGTTGCCGAGAGAGGCAGTGTTAGAACGGTGTTGGCCCGGCAGGTTGTTGTTATTGTTGTTGTGTGTTGTTTAACGCCGCTAAATGGCGGCCGTCTGTAATTAATCGCGACTGGACCAGACAATCCAGTCATCAACCAGCCCGACAAGTAGTCAATTGATTTTAGAAATAATAATTTGGAAAAACACACCGGGCATAAGTTCAACCAAAATTTAAAACTGAGTCAGGTCGTACGTTGAAGCACAGCGTTGAAACCGACTCGCGGATCAAATTAAACCAAGTGCTGGAACGAACTCTAAGATTCTAAACTGTGTCAATGGACCTAACTCAGAAGGTACGCAGAGGAACTGTTTGTAAAGAGAATTACAGGATACGTTGAAGCTAGTGTTGCCGTAAGTTTAAGGACCTGTAGATTGTGTACTTGCGCACTGCTCAATTCAGTTTTGACAATTGAGGGGATCTAAATGAAAATGACATTGCCACCATTACATACAACATAGGGTAGTTTCTAATCAACTTCTGTTTAAATGTACACTGTTCTTTGTATCTCAATGTTTCTTAAGACATCACATGCCCCATCCCACTGGCTCCTGACAACACCACATTATTGGTGCGAAGCGACACCTACCTTGGTCAGATGGAACACATTTGTACTGGGCAGAGCTGCACGGGGAACAGCGGTGGAGAGGCGCCTCAATACTGTACGGAGAGCCGGACCTGGGTCGGAAACCAGCATGGCGTCTGTACAAGTAAGTGTTAGGTATATCCATGTACCTCAGTCTGACCTGTTGGCTGGCACTGTCACTCTGGACATGCGGGCATATTGTGTCTTTTCTTGGATTGTTTGGCTTTTGTTTAACGCCGCACTCAGCAATATACCAGCCATATGGCGGCAGTGTGCAAATAATCGAGTCTGGACCAGACGGTGCTCGTCGCGAAGATCCGGGTTAGAATTTATCTTCAGCAACCCATGCTTGTTAAAAGCGACTAACGGCATCGGGTGGTCAGGCTCGCTGACTAGGTTGACACATGTCATAGTATCCCAATTGCGTAGATCGATGCGCATGACGTTGATCACTGGATTGTTTGATCCAGACTCGATTGTATACATACCGCCGCCATATAGTTGGAATATTGAAACAACAACCAACCAACCATTTCTCATAGACAAAACATGGAACAGTAAAATTTAAAAGCAAGTTTAACAGTAATGCTTTTCTTACAGGGATCTGCAAGGATAGCATGACCCGGGGCTGGTGTGGCCGACTAAGTGCCTCGTACAAGTCATGCGTCTTCGCGCCACAACATTTCTGGAGGGACTGCGGCCAGACATGCGACGTTGGCGCCCTCTGTCACAGTAAGACCAGTCGACCCATGCTTGTGTCAGCTCACATTGCCACAAGCAGGTGGTGGGGCGGGCTTTACATGGAAACTAACTTAAAACAGTTTTATGGTGTTGAAATAGTATATGATCCTGGAAGGGGTATTGTCGGGTTGTTAACAGGCGTGCCAATCTACACTTATCAGAGGGGTACACAAAGTCCGCAGTCCAGACTACCAGTTGTCCGACTTCCATTTTGTGGAAGTCGCGGTAGTTGGGCGGGTTAGGCGGCTGACTTTGTGTGCTGACGATTAGGTGCCTGACTCTGAGGTTGTGGGTTCGAATCCCGGATGGGACTCAACCCAACAAAAATACTAGAATCTGTACTTCACTAAGAAAGTGTAATCACAAATATAACATATGTTGCATTTGACCACTTTCTAAATGGCATTGTGTAATCATGTCGAGGTGTTGTTAAAAAAGGATTCAAGCAAAACAAATGTCAAAATTAGCCAAAGACAATACGACATTTTTAAATATTACATTATGTCGCATAATCGCAATGTCTTTCGATCTAAAATGCCTGGTTTAAAGGCGCTAAACTGCCCTACAACGTGACAATGTCCCTGTCAGTGTTCCATAGAGCAGTCCTTGAAGCATTTATTCATTAACTCGCTATCAAGACCAACAAGGCTGATAGTAACAAACGAATCCTCGTGACAATGTCCCTGTCAGTGTTCCATAGAGCAGTCCTTGAAGCATTTATTCATTAACTCGCTATCAAGACCAACAAGGCTGATAGTAACAAACGAATGCGCTAACAAATTATGGGAAGCGTAACTTTTCCCCCGTTGTTTCTTGTTGGAAATTTATCGGATAGCACGGAATAGTTACACTGTGTAACCACTGCGTATTATCGTATCATGGCAGCGTAGATCGTATCCAATGCTATCAACCAATGATATGTCATGATCATTACTTAATGACTGTTTTGAATATGGGCTGAATACTCTTGACCAAGGCGTAAAACATTAACTCACAGTATCAGTAAACCGTGTCCCAATCCGATTCTGATGTTCAAGACTTAGATTTTCAATACTGTTCCCTTTAGTCCGAATCCAATTCCTATGTTCAAGGCTTACGTTCTGGTAATATTCTAATCCAATTCCGATGTTCAAGGCTTACGTTCTGGTAATATTCTAATCCAATTCCTGATGTTCAAGGCTTACGTTCTGGTAATATTCTAATCCAATTCCGATGTTCAAGGCTTACGTTCTGGTAATATTCTAATCCAATTCCTATGTTCAAGGCTTACGTTCTGGATGTTCAAGGCTTACGTTCTGGTAATATTCTAATCCAATTCTGATGTTCAAGGCTTACGTTCTGGTAATATTCTAATCCAATTCCACGTTCTGATGTTCAAGGCTTACGTTCTGGTAATATTCTAATCTCAAGGCTTACCTGATGTTCAAGGCTTACGTTCTTCGTAATATTCTAATCCATTCTAATCCTGATGTTCAAGGCTTACGTTCTGGTAATATTCTAATCCAATTCCAATGATGTTCAAGGCTTACGTTCTGGTAATATTCTAATAATCCTGGTAATATTCTAATCAATTCCGATGTTCAAGGCTTACGTTCTGGTAATATTCTAATCCATCCTGATGTTCAAGGCTTTCTGGTAATATTCTAATCCACCTGATGTTCAAGGCTTCAAGGCTTACGTTCTGGTAATATTCTAATCCTGGTAATACCTGATGTTCAAGGCTTACGTTCTGGTAATATTCTAATCCAATTCCTATGCTCAAGGATGTTCAAGGCTTACGTTCAAGGCTTACGTTCTGGTAATATTCTAATCCAATTCTAATCCTGATGTTCAAGGCTTACGTTCTGGTAATATTCTAATCTCTGGTAATATTCTTCCGATGTTCAAGGGTTCTTCTAACCAATTCCTATGTAAGGCTTACGTTCTAATCCAATTCCTGATGTTCAAGGCTTACGTTCTGGTAATATTCTAATCCAATTCTAATGATGTTCAAGGCTTACGTTCTGGTAATATTCTAATCCAATTCCGATGTTCAAGGCTTACGTTCTGGTAATACGTTCTGGTAATTTCTAATCCAATTCTGATGTTCAAGGCTTACGTTCTAGTAATATTCTAATCCAATTCCTTCTCAAGGATGTTCAAGGCTTACGTTCTGGTAATATTCTAATCCAATTCCGATGTTCAAGGCTTACGTTCTGGTAATATTCTAATCCAATTCCTATGTTCAAGGCTTACGTTCTGGTAATATTCTAATCCAATTCCGATGTTCAAGGCTTACGTTCTGGTAATATTCTAATCCAATTCCGATGTTCAAGGCTTACGTTTTCAGTGCTGTTCCCTTTAAATCCGAATCCAATTCCTATGTTCAAGGTTTACTCTTTCAATACTGGTTAGCGTTTTCAATACTGCCTCTGATAATCCTTATCTGGTTAATACTATTTACCAGTATTTTAGGTCCCTACATAGGACATGACTGTAATGTTGAACTTATACATCAGTCTCAGAGTCCCACAGGGGCCGTGGCGTAGCCTAGTGGTTAAGCGTTCGCTCGTAACGCCGAAGATCCGGGTTCGATTCTTCTCAACATAGATACAACGTGTGAAGCCATTTCTGGTGTCCTCCGCAGTGATATTGCTGGAATATTGCTGAAAACGGCGTAAAACTTAACTCACTCACTCAGAGTCACACCATATTTTTAAAGACTATAGTTGGAGAAACAAAAGATTATTTTTGGTCACAGGTATGGAGAAGCGCCATTGAACGCATGTCATTCTGATGTTTCAGTGGAGACCGGCGAGACTGAATGTCAGTGTGGCGAGTACGCTAGCAAGGGCTTCTGCGAGACTGATGAGTACACGAGGACAATCTGCCCATACACCTGCATGAAACGGGCAAGTAAGTAATGTCTTAGCTAAAACCGTTTTCTACTACATATTAATGACAGCAAACGAGCTAGCAAGTCATTAACATGCATCTGTGATGTTATGAGTTTGGGGATCCTCCACCCATCAATACCCAGTAGACTGTGTTTCAGTTTGGTTGTTAGCTTTAAACACGGATTCGACTGAAACTCGGCTGGGAGGGTAAGCAGGAGTGAGTGACTTTAGTTTTACGCCGCTTTTAGCAATATTCCAGCAATATCACAGCGGGGGACAACAGAAAGGAGCTTCACACATTGTACCCATTTGGGGAATCGAACCCGGGTCTTCGGCGTGTCGAGCGAACGCGTTAACCACTAGGCTACCCCACCGCCCCAGGGTAACGATAAACAGATGAACATGTATTGTCTGTTTTTGCGATTGCAGCTACCTCTTGTGGACCAACTCCCTACTACCCATTTACATACCCCAGTCGCAACGGAACGCAGTACTTGGACGTCGTCTCCATCAAATGTCGTGATGGTTACAAAAGTCTCACTGGGTACCCACTCCTTGGCTGTGATAGGTTTGGCCAGTGGGTTTTTTCAGGAAATTTGAGGATATTCTGTGTCCGTGAGTATGAATATGATCTAACTTATTTCCACTCGCGGTCCTACACCAACATTTGTGTTCCCATGGTGTAAGTATCATGAAAGTGCTCATGTAGTTAACGAAACAACATCACTATTAAAGTAGAAATGAATTTTGGGCCGAGTTTATGTGCACAAACGAAACAGCCAATAATAAATTACTGATCTGTCTCGTTTAATTTCTTTAACAACCAAATGTTAATTCCTTAGCGAAGTGACATTTCTAAACCGCCACGTGTCCATTACTGCACCTCTCCCGTCCTTAAACATATAGCCAATTCCTTCCTAAAGACAAAGGTTAGCTCCTTAACCGAAGATTATTTATTCCCTAAACCCCAGAATGACATAACCGCCAACTTCTTAACCATAAAGTGAGTGAGTTTAGTTGTACGCCGCTTTTAGCACTTTTAGCACAATATCACGGCTGAATACACCAGAAATGGGCTTCAAACATTGTACCCATGTGGGGAATCGAACCTGGATCTGCAGTGTGACGAGCGAACCACTAAGCTACCCTACCAGCCCTTAACCGTAAAGTGTCAAAAGTTAACCTCAAAGCAACATTTCCTTAACCCCAACTTATAGTTACTCAACTATACTAGGCACATAAAGAAACTGTGCATACAAAAATTTAAAATCTAAATTTATCAAACCTGTGTAGACACATCAGGATTCAAACTCAGACATTAGTGATATGTATCCAACATGCATGCACGTGCCACGTCCCGTGACGTCAGTGGGTTCGTCCTTGAGACGTGCAATACGTTGTTGCACGTGCATTCTGGGAAAGAGAAACAGAACAAATGAATGCCACACAATACTGTCACTTTGGAAAGCTCAACCCCTGCCCTTGCGATCGTTCAAAAAATTAAATGGCTATTGAAACTCATAGCATGCCAAGGCTCACGTCTGCACAACGTCATGGGGCCATTGGGATGGTCCGAGGGGAAATGTCTCAACGACAAGTGGCTGCACATTTCCACTGCCACCGGAACACCATTTCTGCACTGGTGAGACGCTACTAGAACACAAATGACGTCATCGATCGGCCACGTTCTGGACGTCCACGTGTAACAACGCCAAGACAGGACAGATGGATAAGGGTGACCCATCTTCGCCACAGGTTTCAGACTGCAGTGATGACTGCCCGAACCACCCCAAGACTTCGCCGTATCCACCCCAACACAGTTCGACAACGTTTACGTCATCACGGGATCAGACCACGACGTCCCGCCATACGGCCTATCCTGACACAACGTCATCGATAAGCTCGCCGAATGTGGTGCCGAAATCATGTCCGCAGGCCCTTGTTTTGGTGGAGAAATGTTGTTTTTACAGATGAGTCCAGGTTTAACATTTCCCATAGTTATGGACGTCAACGTGCCTATAGACGCATGGGAGAACTTTATGCACAGGCCTGTGTCTTGGAGAGGAATCGCGTTGGTGGTGGTTCCGTGATGATTTGGGGTAGAATAACAGCACGCCAAAGAACTCCTTTGGTGATTGTTCAGGGCAACTTAACTGGTGTGGGCTACAGGGATCAGATTCTTCGACCTGTGGCAATTCCTTTTCTGCAACGACATGGCCCTGGGTTAACATTCCAACAGGACAATGCCCGCCCTCATACGGCAAGGGTTGCTATGGATTTCTTGCAACACCACAACGTTGACTTACTGCCTTGGCCTGCAAATTCACCGGATCTCTCCCCGATAGAGCATGTTTGGGACGAGATGGATCGACGTCTACGCCGTCTTCCTCATCCGCCAGATAACGTCCTTGACCTTGCAAAAGAACTTGAGAGAATCTGGCGTGGCATCCCACAAGCCTTCCTTTTGCACGTTTGATGTTCTCAATGCCGATGGTGGACATACGCGGTATTGAGCTTGTGACATGGTCGTTTGACCCCTGTCCCGCTTGTGGACTCGTGACGTCATTGTGATTGACTTTTCAATTGAAATTCTCCCGACTTGTTATGGTCTCATGATCCCTCCATTAAAGTTTATATGTACCTTTGACTTTGTTATCGTACTTATCAACTGGGATACTATTTTGACAATGCACAGTTTCTTTATGTGGCTAGTATATTAAGCGTCAATTCGTTATCACGAAGATATGCTGAGATTCTGTAAACACAACATGTATCCACTTGTGATGTGATCGTTATCAACTATGTTATAATCTGGTCGATTTCTGTACTTCTGCATACGAGATATTCTACTTCTTAACAAAAGTAAAAGAAAAATAATTACAGGATATTAGTAATAAATGCGATATTTTGTTTAAATATAGCAAGTTTTTGAATGCCACTCAGTGGTCATACACATACGGGAGACAGTTGAAGAATTTCAATTTCTTTATGATTTGGTTGGTTGGTTTATTGTTTAACGCCACACTCAGCAATATTCCAGCTATATGGCGGGAGTCCGGATAAGACAATCCAGTGATCAACAGCATGATCATCGATCTACGCAATTTGGAAATGATGACATGTGTCAACCATGTCATCGAGCCTGACCGCCCTATTCCGTTAGTCGCTTTTAACAAGCATGGGTTGTTGAAGATAAATTCTAACCCGGATCTTCGCGGGTTGTATGCATTATGTGTAACGGATCTGTATAAGCACGAATAGGAAACTACAAAATATGCAAGAGACGTGCTTAGAATGTCACGGGGGTCCAGACCAGGGTCCCGATCCACAAAGCGTTCGTAACGTTACGACCTGTCGTAGTTTATCATAGGCTTACGAATGTTTCAGCGCTACGATCGCTCTGTGGATCGGGACCCAGACTGATATCATGAGCATCGATCTAGTCGGCTGAGATACGCTAATGTGCGTCCACCAGGACAGCGAGCCTCACCATCCAATCCTGTTCGTCACTTCTTACGAGCAGCATGGTTTGCTGAATACCAATTCTAACCAGGATATTCACGGGTCATACTAGTTTAGACGCTGCTTAAATTAGCGGCTGTATAAGATGGCATCTTTTATTTCACGTTTTATTATTTTAATTTGTAATACGCACCATTTCTGTCTATTTGTCATTTTCAGCAATTAGACCAAAAATCACTGATAGCGTCAGTTCCGTCACGACAACCTTCATTCTTGCGAGAAGTCCGACCAGCGGCCTGACTCTTGGATACCTTAGCCACTCAACACAACTCACCCTCCGCGATTGTCTGGATCAGTGTCGTCTGGACGGCACGTGCACACACGTGACCCTCGACGAGCAGACGAACAACTGCACTGCCATGAGCATAGTGGCAAGACAGCCGCTGATCTGGATCAATGACACCTATGTTTGGACCAAATGGCACTGAGGTTATGGCACTCCGGAAATGGAATCACGGGATCATGGCTCGACACGGGACATCACTCTTCATTGCAATTTGTGGCGCTATAGATTACTTGAGCTCCGGTGCCCCACACAAAACTGAAAAACGAAAATAATCTCGAGATATATATTTATACAAAACTGGTATTAAGTCATTGAAAGAGCAACAAAGAGGAGTCTTTAAGCCATTAATTTACGGATCCGACTTAATATTTCCAAACCAAAGTATGCAGAAAACATCTAGAAGTATTTATATTCTATTAACCGAAAAATCGAGGTAGCACCGGCGGATCCATCGAGACAGCAGGGGCGGGTTCCCTGAGGAGCATTCCCCTAACCTTTGAACTTTATTTTGCGTGATCTTTGATTTATGTAAAAAAAAAACGTCCCACCTCCTCCAAAACCCTGGATCCGCTCCTGAGCAGGCCATCACAGGCCAGGCAGTAACCCTTTAAATTACCGTTTTAAATCTCCGTCATTTCAATTTTGCTTATATTTCAAGCATCCATTCTACTGTGTTGTTTTGGAAAATACCCAAAGTAATTATCAGAGCCGTAAACATGGTTGAAATATCTGGTAATGAACGTTACATACAGTTCTATTTTTTTTAAAACTTTCAAAACATCTGCGCTTTACAGTTAGAATATATGTACACAGAAAGCGTACACAAGATAAGACAAGATGACGTCAATATAGTACAATAACTTCCGGTATGTCGAAGTGTGCACTTTTCATTCTCAAAGCCTCGTTTCGTCCTTTTCCATGTCCGACACCTTTCATTGTCGAAAACAATATGATGCGACGTAATTCATTGGAAATTGTAATTTCCTCCTTTCGCTTGGTGCACGCTCAAAACGTGAACATCATAACCCTGGTTAGTGTATCATTGTACGCCGATTTCCATTCTCAACTCCCTGGGGAAGATCCAAGCCGCATGACACTCGGATCCCACTCAGATGACAATGGATAATAGAGAACATTACTGCAGTCTGCATGTCCTGCTACTACACAAGAAATGATTAACGTTTTGTATTTCCAGAAATGGATTCTGACATGGGTTTCGGTAAAGAGACATTTGATACTGAAGATAGTGTTAAGTTTGTGTAACATTGGCGCCCAACGGTAGTGCAGTCTATTCATATTAATTCTGAGTGTGAAGATGAGTTAACAGATAACAACCAGGGTACCTCAACAGGGACGTACGACAGTCTTAGCGTTCATTCACGCAACGGCACCAAGATTGTTTCAGTAGAACGATGTAAAATATCCCTTTCATTCTTAACACGGCAGGACGTAAGTATCGCCAGCTATCAATGTTAGGTGCATAATTTCGCACAACTTGATAATTGATGGCAGACTCGATTTGTTCACAAACAACATCATACAGCTGTAATACTGCTGAAACACATATGTGCTCATGATATAGTCACAATTGTACAACCGACAAGCAGCGTTTACAAGTATATTTCTACACGAAGTTTTATCATTTTAGGACATACCGTATTTGGGAAAGGTTTGTCAGCATAACAAAGTTTAATATAAACCTAAAAACATGTAAACTTCGTTGAACACCCTTATCTCTAATTGTTTGATGGGCATTCTAGAAGTTGGTGACTCAAAAATAAAACACAACTTTATAGATGACAACTTCTTATTTATTGCATAACTTTTAGCTTGATAACGATGTAAGAATCTACATCGAAACGTCGCTCCATGCAATAAACAAGAAGTTGTCATCCATAAAGTTGTATGTTTCATTTTTGAGTCACCAACTTCTAGAATAATGGTATGATTACAAGCAGCGTTAGAAATAGAAATATACTTGTAAACGCTGCATGTAATAATACCATCACTGAGAGCGACCTAATCAAGCATACAGAGAAAATTAAATATTCTCAGTGAATACGATAATAAAATATGAACAGCAAGTTTCTGGATGACCGAAATAATGCAAATGGCAATACAAGACTAACATGTAATTTACGACATAGAAATGTTGCATCTGTTTTACAGATACAGAGACCACTGTTGACCTTTTGCTTGTTTAGACGTGGATTTGTACTCCTTGCATTCGAAACTTGACGGCATGGCATGCTATGGATTGATTTTTCCAATTTTGGTTAATAGTTTAACAACAGAATTATTGAAAAAGAACAACCCTACTTCCCTATATGTCCGATCTTTGTGCACCAATGGCAGCAATTCTTCAACATGCACTGTACATTTTATCTCTGTAAACGAGTAATATGATTATCACAGCACCATGTTTTATCTGATAGAACACATATCAACGTTTCACATTTTATGCAGTATTTGACGACTTTTATGAGGGATAATGTTATTATCTACCATCGTTTTAACATATGGTTTACACATAGTCTATGTTGATATTTAGTTTCTCCAGGAAATGTCTGTGTCGCATGTTGATGTGCGTATACCAGCGTTGGCAGGCAGTGTTCCACATGTTCCTTATGACTGCCTTATTTATAGCCTTTGATTGGCGTTTTATACTGTCTCTCACTTCACGTCATAGTGAGCGAAATGACATTGTCACAGGACAACTATTTTGATTTCTGTGCCATTGCATGTGTTTATGACGGAAACTACCGGTAGGTTATGATGCACTCACCTATTCACTATTTGATAGTGACTTATAAACACATGCTCCTGCCGAAGTAGAAATTTTATGTTAACGCTGCACCGGACTTCCCTTTTGTATGTGGAAAGGTTTTTAATAACATTTACCATTATCTTCCGTATTGATATGTCGTACGTATTCATTGTCAAGTAAAATATCTATTTGATTATTATCATTATTAGATTAGTTTCCTGTATGGCTGATATAAGACCGATGTTCAATTTTAACTAAACTATTAGATGTGATTTGCTATATTTCGAAGAATACACGGCCGTCATTAATTTAAACTGTGTACGCGAAGAACCTTCACACACGTTACTTTCATTTCATTCCATCTTGTACGTTCTTGTCATTCGTAGGCTTCATTTTCATGTATTTACTAATGTGTTGCTTTGAGCTGATGATTTCTTTGGATTAAATTCACTAATTTGCTGCAGATTCATGTTTGTTTTGTACATCCTCCCACCGTGGAACACAGTATACTGGTTCTCTCATGAATCTACAATAGGTAATATATCTCTATATCGGATAGTGATTTCAACTTACCTCGACTTACTCAGATTCATGTTTGTTTTGTACATCCTCCCACCGTGAAACACAGTATACTGGTTCTCTCATGAATAGGTAATATATCTCTATATCGGATAGTGATTTCAACATACCCCGACTTACTCCATATTTGGGATGCGGGAGGAATACATGTAGAACCCAATCCGCCAATCGGTGTCGTAGGATGGGAGTAAATAGTTAAGGCTAGGTGACTTGGCTGATTGCGCGTTTTCGTACCCCGACCATTGTTGATCATGGGTCTGCTTCAATCCACGTGATTCGCAACAGAGATGATGAATCAGGAGCGTTATTATCAGAAGCCAGAAACCATGGAACCATGGAGTGCTGAAACCAGTCCATTCCTCAGACTGATCTCAACTCTCTCATGAGAGATGTCTACAGCGTTTCCCACGTGGTGAGTCGTCAATCATCCATATCATGTATTGTACATACATTTTCCTTAGTTGGTGGCTTTCTGATCGTGGATCATTTTAATGGCTTCTTCTCCTATTGAACTCCTGTACTCACATATAAACAGTTGCAAAGGTTGACGTCATGGCTGTGTGGATTTCTGCCTAGATGTGAGGTGAGGTGAGGTGAAATTGGGTTTAACGTCGTGCTTGAGAATATTTCGCTCATATGACGATGTGCATGCGTGTGTATGTGTACGTGCGGCTGCTTATACTAGCCCAGACTTAAGCTGGTTTGATAGTGCTAGCCCACTGAGATACCACGCCGCAGTGAAGCATGAATACCCCGCTCAGACACATTATGCTTACTCCGAGCCGACCAGTCCTTGTTGTACCCATTAATGCCGAACGCCAGGCAGGGACCAACAAGTATCATATTTTAACGTCTTTTGGCATGACGCGGTCGGGGATCGAACCCGCGACCTTCCGTTCTCCGGGCGGACGCTCTAACCACTACACCATGGAGGCGGTCCCTCTGCCTAGATGTATTGTTTTGAGTGCAGCCAAGTGAATTGAGAGTGTTGAATGCAAACTGTTAAGTGAGAACTACACATTACTCCACTTACATCAGTTGAATGAACGAATGAGCCATGGGACACACCCACAGTGCTGAAACCAGACCAGTCATAGCCGTTTTTTGCGCCGAACACGCTCACAATCATTTGGTTATAACTTGTAACACATCTGAATTCCACATTTCGTCAAAAGGCTTTTCAAGGCTGACAGCGGAAGGTGGACAAGCCCAGACACTGGACCATCAAAAAGACATTGTTATCTGACAAATGCCACTACCGAGAATCTGCAATCATCCAAGGAAAACAAAATACATCACTTTTAAAATTGCCATTTACTGCAATTTGGTCACGTTTAATGCAACCTGGTTTTTCAGAGCTGATCTTAGATTGCATCCTCTCTTGTACTTTTCAACTCATTCGCAGGAACATAATACAAATTGTTTGCGTGGGCTAAATCTGTATCAAATCTGTCTGGGAGGATATTTCACTAGCTACTTTAATGTCGAAAATACTGGAAACATTGGTTTCAAAATGTATCCATTGTTGGCTGGACATGACGATTGTCCTGAATAATATGTCTTGAACAAGAAAAACAATCTTGCGGCTTCTTTCTAAAGAAAAAGCAATTATTTGGATTGATGTATGGGCTAAAGATATATCTCCAGCAAAATCCCACATCATACGACCATTTCTCTGTTAGCTATAGAATCTTAAACATTGCATATGTATTTGTACTTTTAAAACAGAAACTGATATTGTTAGATATGCCTTAGCCCCTTAGATATGCTTTGTTAAAACCGAGATTTAAAATGTCAGTAGAAGACACGCGTCGCCAATAACATATTTTGATGTCAAGTGTTCTGATCACGTAATTCGGTCAACTCCAGAAGATAGTGTTTCTGATTATTCCTCTATCAACATAACTAGTTTCATTTGTCAACACGCAGGAACAAAAACGATATAATATATATAATCGTGCACAATGACCTGATGTCAAAGGAGATAATGAGTCTGAAGCCATCCAGTGTTGGCAACGTAGCCTTCCAAATAGAAACATAAGGTGACATTACGACTTTAAGTCATTGACTTGTCACGTCCATTGCAATGAGTGTATCAGGTTATTTTTTGTGGTGTTTTCATTCCCATGTCGTGCTCGAGAAGCAGAGGGCGTCATGTATTTTTGAATTTGTGTTTTGTTGATTTGTCAGCCATTCCTAACTGACAGATGACGTCAGAGCCTGTGTCGAAATGTATTGTAAAATAACAATAAAAGCACACATGTTTAACACGACTTGATGAAATCTCATTTGAAACCACTTCCCCTTATCGCGTGATATAATTTGTGCAATATCTACTTTCTACAGTTTGAAAATACCATTCTTAAACAAAACATGAAGATCATATTGTTTTTCAATACTAAAGAAAGTCTACGAGCTACGCACTGTTGATTCCCTGCCTTCCCTGAACATTATTTTCACTTACCGAAATCATGTCATAGGTACAGGTTGAATCTGACGACACAGAACACATTCCGTGTCATCAACACATTTGTATCAATTGTAAATGTTCGCCCGCCAATGTTATTGTTTTAGCAATAATGTGACATTAGTACCACGTATATGAGAGAACAGCAAGCATGACA